CCTGATCGCCCTTTAGCGTCGTATGTGACGCGTCGGACTTTGCCATTGGCAGTGCACTTTTGCAAGTTGACACTGAGGGTCGAGAACGCGTCATCGCGTTTGAGTCTCGCCAGATGAAATCTGCAGAAAAGCACCATCTAGTTCATGACAAGGAGCTACTTGCGATGAAGTATGCCCTTGCTAAGTTCAGGGTACACCTGTTGGGCTCAAAAAAAGCCGTTTGTGATCTACACCGATCATGCGTCGTTACGCACAGCGAAACAGTCGCCTCATCTCTCGCAGATAATGGCTTGTCGGCTCTCCTTTTTTTGCGGAGTATGACTCGTGCGAGATTACATCGTTATGCACTGACCGATGGTCTGTTGTACTTTAGTGCAGGGTCGGATGACCAGCCTCGTGTTGTGATGCCGCATGATGAGTACCTCAAGTATCAGATACCTTTATGAGGCTCATGATGCACCGCCTGGAGGTCATTTAGGTCGTGAGAAGACCTACAGCTCGGTGAGCACCCATTATTGGTGACCCAAGTTGTACATAATTGGTTTGTACATATGTACGCACGTGTAAAACGTGTCAAAGGGTGAAGCACTCACCTAGTATGACGGCGCCGTTGGCGAGTTCGTCTGTACCCTCGGGGTTGTGGCAGTCCATTAGTATGGACTTTGTGTTTGGCTTACCGCGTGATGCGGCAGGCAACACTGGGATTGTGGTCTTTGCTGACCAACTGAGCAAGATGGCTCATGTAGCGGCAGTGCCGGAATCCATTGATGGAGAAGGAATAGCAAAGCTTTTTATGGATCGTGTGGTTCGGCAACACGGATTGCCTGTGGCAATCGTCTCGGATAGAGACCCCCGTTTTGCGGGTAAGTTTTGAACATCAGTCTTTAAAGTGCTCGGCACTCGACTGGACATGTCCACGGCGGATCATCCGCAGACTGATGGTCAGAACGAACGCGTCAATCTCATTATTGGTGATATGCTTCGCAGTGTTTTTGCTGAAACACCCAAGCAATGGAGCACAATGCTCCCTCTCATAGAGTTTACGTTGAATAACAGTCGACAGGCTTCACCCCATTCTATGTGAATGGTTTGGTTAACCCTCGCGTTCCTTTACAGCTACCCCCCTGCTACATCAGGGCTTAGTGGGGGAGAGATAGCCATAGGGTAGGCTGATATCAGCCCTGTTGCGATTTGAAAGAAGGTGGAAGCGTTTCTTTTAACGCGTTTTGACGTATTACGTCGCGTCAAAGACGCTATGGATGAAAGCCAGGATGTTTAAAAGGAACAAGAAGATGCCAAAGGCAGAAAGAACGACCAAAAGTTCAAAGTGGGTTATTTAGTTCTATTAAACAATAGAAATTTACCTACCCGTGCCGTTTCGGCAGTATATAAAACCAAATTACGTCCACGCTTTATTGGATCTTTTAAGGTCATAAGCAAGAAAGGTTTAGCCTATACGCTGAAGCTTTCGAAGAAGATGAGAACACACCCTGTGTTCTCCGTGGGCTTTCTAAAGCCATATCTCAACCCTGCCTCGGTGGACTTCGAGGGGTTGTCCCCATATCCCCGGCCGAAGGAGTCGGGTAGTACAGCACCGGAGGTGCATATGGACGCTGGAGGCGTAACAGGAGGTCAATCTGGCATCAAAGCTCGGCTTGAAAAAGCTCAATCGCCGCTAAGCGATCCGAGGTCTCAGAGCGATAACGCTCAAAGGATCGACGGTATCGATCGACACGGTCATCGAGCGATGACAGGTGAGACTTCACCGATGCAAGGGCATCACGCTACAGGAGCGTCAGGCGACGCTCAATCTCTCAGAGATGAGAGATCAATTGGTCACCGACCTCCTCCGACGCTGATTGATGAACTGGTTTATCAAAAGTTCCACGTGGAACGTCTCTTGGATCGGCGTCGTCACCAGGGTCATACTCAATATTTGTTGAAGTGGAGGGGTTGCCTCCAGTCGTACAAATCGTGGGAGTATGAGGTACCCCTCCGGAAGGATTGCCCTGACGCCGTTGACGCTTTTGACCACGACGGTCAGAAGCGACGACAGCTGTCGTCGGACGCTTCCTAGCACTAGCTGATGCGGAAGCAGGTCAGTAAGATGGTTTTGCCTCTGACATTTAGAAGAAGCCAATGCCGGTACATCACTCGCGTGAGAGGTACGGGAAACAGCTTCAGAAGCTTGCTCCCCACAAGTCTTTGATCTGTATGTGGAGGTAATTGACTCTTCGCTTTGAGCTTAGCAAAGTTAATCCGTAGACGACGTTATAACCGAACGTCTTGCGCTTTAGCGCTTAAACGCAAGCTTGACAAACTTGAGAGTTTACATGCTCGTTCTACTCAGCGGGTGAACTGGTGATCATCTTGTGCAGATGTTTCACCTGGTGCAAGCACCACTGGTATGCCCTTTAGTGGGTGCACAGTCACCCCACGTGACTGTCTTGACAGTCGCTCCTGATACAATCTCATCGTAAACTCCTGGGGAGTAAGGAGCCGCTCACGAAGAGCAACACTATCTGCATTCTCGCAGGCCGTACGGGCATGGGACCCAATGATATAGGTTTGCAAAAATTGCGATGCAGCTCGCCGAGCTTCCTCATTAGGATCCCGCCGCACGAACCCATAATCACGACGTAAAAAGGTCTGTTTGGGCCGTGTCAAGGCGGCCGCCTGGGCCTCGTCAACAAGTTGACGACGCTGTGCAGCGTAAAAAGGATTGTCTACCTCTTCGTCACTACTATCTATACAGGGAAGTGGTGGCGCTTGGCGCAATGCGGTTGTCTACTTCGGAAGAGAAGACACAGAATGGGATGTATGTTCCTCGCTCGGTGAACGTGATGATCTTGGGGTACTATGACCCGACAGAGACTCGGTACTGCTACCCCTAGAGGCAACGTCACTGTCATCGTCCCCAAAGATGTCGCGACGCATTGCATCATCCATGATGGAGCAAGCGATATCGGGACAAGTGCCTTATAAAGCAAGTGTTGTGAACACTGTAATGCTTACAAGCAAGTGCTAGGCACTTAATGCTGTAAAAGCAAGTGCTCGTAAACACACAAGGGTATTAATACCACAGTGCTCGGCACTTAACGCTTATAAGCAAGTGTCGTAACACTTAATGCTTTAGCGTGAGTGCAATGCACTGTATTCTCAAAGAGCGAGTGTCATAAAACAAGAATGCTGAGAAAGTGAGTGCGCAAAGCACAGGTGCTCAAGGAGCAAGTGTCAGAACATTGACGCTTTGTTCGCAAGCACAAGAGCTTATTGCGGGGTAAGCAAAACGGGAAGAAAATGGAATCGATGACTCCATTAAGTGCAAAAATCGTGGGTACGTCGGGTCCCACGGATTGGTGGGGGAGGGTGTAACGGGGTTGCACGAAGGTGTGTATTTTACATACACACCTGCCACACAAATGTACCTTGGGTACAAGAGTAGTCTTGATGTGACCGTATCTGAAGTACGAAGGGTCGCATCGTGGCAGAGAGCCACGTGGTCACTATACTTATTTAAGTATAGTGACTATGCATGTTTGCATAATAATAGGCTATAGAGCCAGTAAATAGTGACTAGCACTAAGTATAGAGTAGGTGCTTCTATATTTCGTGTTAGAAGATAAACATAAATATAAAACAGTTTCAAACCTGCTCAATAAGCATCACTGCTTGAGATTTCTATTCCTCCTGAGGAATTGTATCATTGATACTAGTCTTTTTGAGACCCGGTTGTAACAACCGATAGGCACAATCTTACGAGCTAGACTAGGAAGGGTTAAGCACCCTAAGACGTAGAAGCTCTCTGAACTTGTCTTCCTCTGCACATAGTGCATAAGTAGCTTGGTTACAGTAGCTCGGCTACACAAACGGTATGTGTGTATGTGAACGCTTTACGCGAGCCGTCTTGCCACCGAAGTGGCTCAACTTCCGCATGCGTCAGGTTATCTCTCCTTCTCTACATTCTCTTTTTCTCACCAGGGTCCATTAAGCGGTGCGCTTATAGCACACCGCTTAATGGACCCGTCCAGACTGCACGATCGTGTGTACATTGGCGAAGGAGGTACAGGAGTGGGTGGGGCCAGTCGACGGCGGTGTCCAGCGTGGTTTCTTGCTTGATCTTTTGGATGTCTATCTTGTCAACGGGGCCCACCCAGGAAGGGTCCTTGTTGCTTGCACCGTGAATAAAGAATGACGCGAGCGTACCTAAGCGGAGATACCGGGACTTCGCGGCTTCCCGCGTGGCGGCGTCCATCGTGGCGGCTTAGCTGGCGGCTGGGCGGAGAGCGACAAGAGAGACGTGTGTAAAGGGAGAGGAAACCCGTACAAACTGACGGATGCTGCGAAGCACCTGAGCTAGCATTAGCTAGCGGTAGGGCGTTACCCTAACCCGACCAGGATGTACCAAACGGTATGCAAGTTAATGAATAGAAGCTCAAGGCACTAAAAGTGGCTCGGATAAGCAAAATTGAGCTGAAGAAGAGCCTGTATGGGCTTAAACAGACGGTCAACTATGGAGTCGATTGCTGCAGAGAACACTTCATGACGCAGGACTGAAAGTCGAAGGCAAGGTTTTTCTTTGCCAGCTATTCATATCGGCTGCGTCTCAAGTTTATCAAAACTTCGTTCGTCGTGGCATTCTTAAGCCTCGCTACATTCAGTCGGTACCCCTTTTCGCGGATCTATTGATCAAAGAAGTAGACCAGCACAATCTCACAAAGCTCCGGTTGCTAGTGGGTTTGCACTAGCTAAGTCAATCGAGCGCAACAAACCTGCAAAAATAAGATTGTGAAGCTAGCCTTGTGAGGAGAACGCAAAGCACGAAAACATGCTGACTTCAACACCGTAATTTTGATCTCGATTCGTACCGACAATAATGACAAGACATGAGATGTGTAAACACTTTGAAAGAGGATGGACGCAATGCAATTGAGCAATAGGCTGAACAAGCATTAGGCACAGCTTAGGAGAGACTTATACAAAGCCACCTACACATCTCATCACATGTACAAACCTTCGGTCCGCCTACAGCTTAACGAATGACTGATTTTAGTGATAGGTTGAACGTAGTATCCGCCGAGTGGCACATTTACATCGTAAGAGCGCTGCTGCCTCATCTTGTGAGCACTAAAGCCAGTTAGTGTAACACCAACGCAAACAGAGGCAAGAATACCCACATGAGCAGTAGCAGGCAAGCCACAACCACCACCATTTTTGGAGCTCAACGAGGGGTACGAAGCCGCTGTCGTGGCAGCAAATGATGTAGCAAGCGGCTCAATGCGCAACGCTGTAGTAGCATGATTCAACTCCGTCTGCTGCTGAATAGAGTAAATGTCGTCGTAAGTCATCCCGGTCGCGATATTAATTTCCGGTTTTTGCATTTCTGACGTGGTTGATATCGGCTTCGTCGGTCCCGGCGTAGTTGAGCAAGGTGTAGGGTTCTCACTTCTTAACGTCGTCGGGGCTGGCGTAGGCTGGTTCATTTCTGACTTAGTCGGTATCGGCTTCGTCGTTCCCGGCGCAGTTAGGGCTGGCATCGGGTTCTGCGTTTTAGACGTGATAGGAGGAGGAGGAGTATCAGTCTTCGTCGTGGTCAGAGCAGGATTAGGAGTCACCTCCAAGTCGACAGCATATCCCTAGGCGCCAGTCTTGAGGTTCGCACATTGGGCATCTTGGTGACACACAAGTGCCAAAGGTCGTGTAACTAGTTAGCGTCTGGTAGCAGTCCTGGACGGCAACGTCGCCCTTTACAGGACACCTAAACCCATGAAGCGAGCCACCAAAACCACTGCAAATTAGCCCCTCAATGCAGTACGTCGCGTCACCTTCCACAGACACTTCGATGCACGTCTCAGTCGTCACGATTACAGTAGTCGCGGGAATGGTGCTGACGTCGTCGCACATGGCATTGTGTAAGGAGTCGCTGCACTGGACTCAGTTGTTGTAAAGAAATTATTCGCGTTCGAACTCGTACCGGCCAAAAACCTTCGGGGCTGTAGTTTGATCATATGATGGTGCAGTCATCACTTCCGTGTTTGACTCAATAGAGCCACCAGACTCTGTTTTCTTGTCTGGATATGACTACCTTTTGAGGCCGTGGCGGTTATGGTCTCATCCTTTGAACCGGTTGTCGTCTTGGTCGTCTTGTCGTTCAAGCCAGTCGTGGTAGTCATCTGGCCCATGCGGTCGCCGCGTTTTGCCTTTTGTCTAGGTGTTCGAGGTAGAAGTCGTACCAAACGAATTCGTGGTTTGGACCGTCTTCACTGGCGTTCCACCGATTGTGGTGGAAGCAGTGCTTTGGTCCCATGTCACTGGCACCCGGTGGTAGTGGGAGCAGTGCTTTGGTTGTCGTCACTGGCGCTGACGTCTCCTTCTGGAAAATTAACAGGTGTATTTAAATAACAATACAGATTCACAAGTTCATCGTATGCCTTTGCAGCATTACGCGCTGTCCAGAACTCTCCACCACTAACAACATGATGATCAATTTATAATTCAGCGCTATGCTTATTCACGTTGTTTGCATTGTATACAACACCTAAATATTCAGTCTTTTATCAGGAGCTTTCTCATACGTATGAACTTGGAAAAGGAGCGGATGGAGCAATTTTATCTCCAATATCATACAAATACTGGCATCAGTTTTTTACGTGCTTTAAAGAAGTGAAACGAATACGCAGAGTACGTGAAATGGAAGCTTGACAACGCTGAGCATAACGGACGAGCTTTACTCATCACAATAACTCGACTGTAGCGGACGGAAACTAACAATTCGAAAAACAAGTATTAGGGTATTTGATGAATCAACTTGTACACGCTACCGGTTTTTACTCAAATTGATTATCAACACCGACACAAACGAAAAAGTTGGGTTTTCAACAGCCTGTTTTCGTTTTTGTTATAAAAGATGGAGCAAATTCAACTATTGCTAATCAAAGCTACGGTCTCAGACTTGAATCCGTCCGTAGTGATAGCCACTTATCTCCCTCTTTCAATAATCTTACTCTCGTAATTATCAGCTCGAATACAATGCAAATAACGACAGATTTAATTACGATTGTAAACTACTTCAACTATGAGTGAAAGCTAACAAACAAGATCGTGAGCCAATACCTGATCTTCAAAAACTTACTCTCTGTCATTATCCCGTAAAAGACACCAAAAACCATCAACCGCCTAGATACATACCAACTTACCAGACATTCTTCCGCCGTCACCCGCAACAATTCCACCGAATCTTTCTGCTGAGATTCTCAGCGTCTATCTCGGCCACAACTTTATCCTTCTCCTGTAAAATGTATTCAATTGCCGAACTACAAACATCTTAGAATCATACTGCCAATGTGTCCGATGTAAACAACTGCTGCCAAGAAACCCTTGCAATTGAGCTGCATTAAAAACACGTCCTAATTTTCTACAGTTGAGCAACATCGAATTATACGACCGAACAACTCTATCGAATAGGCCAATCACGGAATCATCAAGAGCATGAGCACTATCCTGACCTCCAGAATCCTTCTTTATTTTTTGTCCTTGGCAGTGTCGACTTCATCGGCCGGACGTTGCCAGCAGCAACAATACTCGCGAAATCTTTATTACCAAGATCTGTCCGTCCCACATCAGTATTAGTCTAAGCTATTACGTAATGGCCCAGCGCCGACTCGTGCGACTTCGTCGGCATCAGCAAGGTTTTCAACATGCTAGATCTGCTTCTTTTTCTGATTTATTTTCGTGCTTAATGTCCCCTGCAACTACACTAACTCGCGAATGTCATTGCTGTACCTACAACCACGCGCTACACGCGCTACACGATCTGCAAAGCACTACCTACGATTTTTGTCCCCAGCTCTCCTGGCTAATAGACCGGTTCGTCCCGACCAAATCCTGCACTTCGCTATGAACTTCAGCTTACATTCATTAAAAACAGCCCCGTTAGGTCAAGTAGGTAGCGTATGCGGCAGAAACTGGTCATTTTGACTCGTCCATGATAAGGTAAACGCTAAACAGGCTGATCCAGATACAACGATCGTCAGTACTCTCGACAACATCGCAAGTACTCGTAGCTTTGATAAGCGGTGGGTAGCATCACGATAATCTTCATCACACGCGTCCACAGCTGGGAATTGTCATATTGTCGGTAGTCCCGCCCATTGCGCTTGGTGCGGGAGCTACAACTGATATGTAAAGAACGTGATTAGAGACGCAAACTCAGCTTTCGACTTGCGAGATTAAATTTCATTAGCGTTTTTGCCGCACATGAAGATGAAAATATCTAAACAAAGTCATTGGAAAAAATCTTTGATGATATAGTCGTTGCTAACGCTTTGCACTCTGCATATTGCATCTGCTATACGACCAGGTCCATAATGCCATCGAAATCTCGTATATTCCGTTGTAAGCGGTTTGTGTCCAGTGCCAGTAGTTTCCAGAATCGTCTGTGGAAGAACGCACATAATCCAATCCATCGGTTGAATTAGATGCCGGTATGTGTCGACAACACGTCTGTCGTATTGAAATACTTAGTAAATAGTTTCTTGGATGAATTGATAGAAGCATTATGGTTCGTATTTTCATTATTTGCATATGAACCAACGGACAAGCCACCATTTGAGCTTGTGTTTCATTCATTGACAGAAGTCGAGGAATTTGACGGTGTGTAGGATATGTCATTGCTGCGATGGTGTTTTAGAATTTTAGAATGAATGCTGCACAGATTTGACTATTGTTCAGCAACTGTTCCGCCATGATTCTGGAAGTTCGTACGAGTAGTCTCTTAGTCGTGTCAAGTCTCCGTAGTTCCGCATCTCCCCTGTACAAAATTACTTTTTCGAGCGTTGAGAGGTCAGCAATGTCAAGACCTCACCATGGACGACTACATTTTGCACGATTTTTACATCTTGGACAACCCCACACGTCGTGGGCAGACAAAAATCTGATTTAAGAGGTACTCCAAAGTTGCAAAAGGTGATATCGTGCAAATACATGTCAATAGCTGCGTGCTATGAGTAGAAGAAAATATCACGTGGAGATGCAGTGGTGTCGTTGTTCCACCTACCACGTTATTAACTTCGTTGTGCACTTCAAATTGAACATTTGTAGAAATGGCGAGACGTGCGTACAATGTTTCATGAAAGTATCAAATCCTCGCTGACGGTACAGGCTTCGTAGTCACAGTCACTCTGAACTTGTATCCGTCACACCTTGTTGTGATCGCATTTGTGATTAAACGGATAACCATGAGCTAGATAGCCGGTAGATGTTTTGCCGTGAGTGTCAATGAAAATTTGTCGCATTGAGGTGTTGCCTCATCTCTTGAAGATGTCTGTCTGAGCATTCATAATTATTGCTGCACTCTTTAATCGTTTCGCAATCAAATGCAGCATGCACGTCGTGTACGGCAGAGCCACACAAGCAAACTTCGGATCTTGGTCACGAAGCTAACTTTTCTAGAGCGATCAAAAGACATCGGTGCCAGAAGAAAAACCGACGAAACTGTAAGCTTGCGATTTTCCATTCGGATCAACGTGGATGGCAGCAAACTGCTCAATCACTTCATTTCGGATCGCAATATCCATGGCTTCAAGGTAGAAATTCTTTTCACTTGAAGTCAGTCTTGACCAAGATTTGTGGACTCGTTGACCCTGGCTGCAAGCTGCATTGCCTCCTGCTTAAATCTCATCTTGTCTACCTGCAACGGCTGGCAGTGAGGTGCTGGCAAGTGCTGCGGCCAGTAAATGCACGAAGGATTGGCGTATGATAGTTATCCGCATTTGTCGTTGGAATCGTTTTACAGGGAGTCTGGGTGTTGACGACTTTCACGGCTATATGACGGCTTGAAACGATGCAGCCGAGCTACTGTAGCCAAGCTACTTATGCACTACGTGCAGAGGAAGACAAGCTCAAAGAACTTATAGGTCTTAGAGTTCTTAACCCTCCCAAGGCTATCTTTACAAGCTTATGCCTTTTGGTTGTAAACAACCACATCTCCAAGCGACTAAAATCAAACATACAATTTCTTACTAAAGGAAAAGAACGCTCTAGCAACTAATGCTTACAGAGCAGGTTTGAAACTGATTTATATTTATGTTTATTTTCTAGCACTAAATATAGAAGCACCTACTCTATACTTAGTGCTAGTCGCTATTTACTGGCTCTATAGCCTATTATTATTATGCAAACATGCATAGTCACTATACTTAAAGAAGTATAGTGACCACGTGGCTCTCTGCCACAGCCTTACCACATTGGTGTGGCAGGTGTGTATGTAAAATACACACCTTCGTGTAACCCGTTACAATATGGGTCTCGTTGAAACGATGGTTGTGTAGCCAAGAAGGCAAAAGCTTGTGAAGCCAGCATTGTGATGGTTAAGATCTTTTAAAACGTACAACTCGAAGAGCTTGTCTTCCTCTGCACTTAGTGCATCTAGTAGCTTGGCTATAAAACCTTTGGCCATACATCTCCTTCAATAATCGAAAGTAAGTAGTGCGATAATTTATCTACACTCTGGGATCATTAATTATACGAATGTGTTGGATCGGTCAGGAAAAGAGATACGAGTAGTAATCGCTGGTTCAACTAATCTTCGGTATGTGTTGACATACATGCTAATCAACACTTTAGTCGAAAATACACGGTACCAACTTCAGAGATGTCGATGCGGAAGTCGATTTCTACTTGCGGCGACTACAGGCGTCAACGTCCTCCCCGTCTTGGGTGCTATCTATTACTGGCTGAGCAGCTCAGTGATACGGGTGCATGCCAAGTTCAGATCACTAATGATTACTTTTTATGGTAGCTGATGGCGCTATTATAAACGATATCTGCCGACTCACATAGCAGCGCATGATTACATCTGCTATCGACAAGGTGTTTTCGTGCAAAAAGAACAACATGGCTATGGAGTACTTTTGAAAGCCGATCACTTTATGGAAAGAGTAGTGGTGCAGCTTGTTAATTCTACGAAGACAAGTGAAGGTATTGCAAGATTTGTCGCACTATGCACAGAAATGGTGTGATGAGGAACGCCGTACACTGAGAGTATGTGTTCTACTTGTATTATTCAGCACTACCACACTGCCTCCTAAAGTGTATCTAGTGGAGCGTGCTGCCATATCGTGGCGTCCGCTTTCGCAAGCGCGTACTAAACATTGCACGTGGAGTAGCGTTCGACGCTATGACAGCTTCAGTGGCGTCAACTTTTTCTGTCTTGCAACTTTGCGAGCAAAGCACGAGGGCAGTGCCGCCTATAACAAGTGCAGCACCCACAAAAGTTAATAGTCCAGGCATGGCATCAACACCCATGACGATGCCCTGTGCCGTGGCCACAATCGGCTCCATTAAGCAAACTACCGACACGACAATTGGGTCAAAGTACTTCATCACTCCAATATAACCCATTGTGCCAATGCAATCGCAGATGAAGACAAGGTAAAGCACCACGACGAGTCGGTTCATAGACGGGGTCAACCATCCAAAAATACCATTATACGGATCGGTAGATAAACTCAGGTCTTGACCCGACATCAACATGTACATTAGCAGCGTTGCGGCTGATGTGGCTGCGAGACCACACAAAAACACAAGCAGATGCATTTGTGGGCGCGTCTTTTTAGCCAACTTGAAGTAAATTGCTCCTCCAGCGGCGCCAGCAAGTGCTACTAGATCTCCAGCCGCGGAGGGTGACACAATGTTGGGGCCCCCCTTTGTCTTGTCCAACGTAGTAATACCACCGCCAACAACACCAATAGCAGCACCCAAAGCCTCAAATGGAGCTACGGGCTTTCGTTGCGCAAGCTTCCAAAACACAAGCAGCATTGAGTGTGCATTATTAAATAATGTGGCGTGGCCAACAGACGTTATTGACAGCGCTACAACAAACGACCCGAGAAAGAATGCGTACGCCATGCCAGCTATAATAAGGGAAGGGACCAGCTCTTTCCAATGGAAGTCACCAGGTTCATGACGACTGCGAAGTAGAATCATCAGTGCAAAAGGAAATGTGACCATTGACGTGGCCGTATTGCGCCAGAAAATACGAATCACGGGCGTAATGACATTATTAACCTCATCCAAAGCAACGCCCACGGAAGAAATTGTAAATAGTGACGACAGCAGCAACATGTAGCCAATGATCGGTGCCTCCCGCTTCACCACGACTGTCACCTCAAGATTTTCTTCGTATCCCCGTGTGTTCAACGAAATTTGTGTGATATCCGATGGTAGGATTGTTGCCATGTGGAGCGGTGCCATTGTTGTCTGTGGAGTTACTGAGCTCCCTTCAATATCGGCTTCGTCCTCATTATAATTGAGCTCATGTTTGCCGGGCACAGCTAACAAGAACTCGGACAAACTCGTCCCAGGGGGCAAACTACCAGAAGGATCACTTGGAGTCATTTCAAACAGGTACGCGTGGTGATTGGAGTTTACCTTCTCCACCGCCTTACAAGTTTCGTCATCCATCGGAAACAATAACACAAAGGGAGACAGCTCGTCACTTTCAAACGCTGGACCTTTACTATCCACAAACGAACGCGTGGAGAATGGAGATCTCGCAGAGTAATTCGGCCACAGTCCTTTCGACCGCGTGGAGAGTGGAGACCTTGCAGAATGGTTCGACCCCAGTCCTTTCGACCGCGCGGCATTGCACGATAATAGCAGTCGAGACTCCGAATCATAAGCATTGCTAGGGGTGGAAGCCTCCATGTTCGCATCAGCCCCTTCATCATCATCCTCCGGACAATCCGCATTATTTACGCCCACGACAAAACCCTTGAAGAGCTTTGAGCTGTCTGTGTTACCAGCAACACGAAGGGACAAGTCCGGGTGTGGTGCTGACACTCCAATAACCATGTTTTTTGTGAGTGATGGGTCTCCAACAGGCGTTGAGGCCAAAAAAACCGTCCAAGGAGATAGTACAGCCGTACCATCGGTATCTTGCGTGTACGCTAATTGCTCTTCCGTTTCAATACTAAACCATGTCTCTCCAGCAGTTGGGAGGTAAATTAGCCGGCTTGAGTTTGAATCTGTCATGTTACTTCCGTCAGAAGATTTGGAGGTAAAACTATCGAGCGCTTCAGCGAGGGAAAAGTAGCTCTTTTGTTCAGCAAGTTCATCCAATGCATCGAAAATATCTGGTGAGGTCAAGAACAACCCAGCATCGATACCGTCGTATACCTTCAGGTCACGGCCAATGTGCGTCACATGTTGGTGATCCTCATTTACCTTCACCTTGACGGTTGTCGGTGGCAGACCTGTCATCTCGGTAATGTCCGTTTCCACAAGCACACACGCAACTGCGTCTCCTAGCGGATACGCAGATAGCCTGGACATCACCGATTTATCGAAGATATGGTCGGCGGTATGGATAAGGAACGGCTCCGGGCCTGAGAAAATGCTTTTGGCTGCCAGGATGGAGCGCGCGTGTCCATCATTGTTGTCCCTGCCCAAGTCCAAGAACTCAATCCTCATTTTTGTGTAAAAAGGGGTTTGCTTTACTGCAGCCATAATCTGGCCGCCTGCTGCAGCCACTGAGACCACGACACGCTCTACACCGGCAGCGTAGAGCTGCGTAAGGATGTGACTGATAATCGTCTGCTGTCCCAACTGAATTAGGCACTTTGGTCTTTGATTCTCGTCAAGACTACTAGGTCGTACTGCTGCTGTGAGAAGAACTTGGCGTACTGCAAGATGTCGTGACGCGGGGGTCACGGCCAATGGGGCCGAAGCTATGGAGCGGCCAGGAGGTAGTGGAGGCAGTGGAGACAGCACGTTGGAGCAAGGACGGCCACTCATATTCTCATCAACGTCCACTATCACTTGCTCATTTAACGGAACGCTCGCAGCATCATGTCCGACCGTCTCAAACGGCACGTTCTCGCCCGCATCAACGATTACGCCTTGAATCTCGGAGCGCGTCGGATTTGCTTGGAAACCAGAGAGGAGCTCGGTCTCGGGAATGCATAGCAACTGGCTCACACGTTGTAGATTCAACGCGTAGACGGCTGTAGGCAATTCAGCTTCCACATCCATAGGTCGACGTTGCACTACCATGTTGCACACGATGGGTGAGTAAGTGACTGGCTGGGCGGTTGGTAGTGAAAAAGCTCTAGAAAGTAGAAGTGAGTCAAGGAATAGGAATCAAAGTCTGGTAGTGGATACGTTTACTTGAAGTTTGTATGCCTTTGTTTTCGAAACAAAGCCTTTAATAATCAAATAAATAAGGCGAGTATGAAACTCTGACAATCAACATTTGCTCTTGCCGATTAGAAAAATAGGAGGCTTGCTAATAATTATTGATACGATTTAATTTACTGCTAGGTCCAGGTCATTTATTGTCTTCTTTTTTTATTTTAATTTAACTTCAACTGTGATAAGCCTTGATGGATTCATTTTTAGCCAATCCACGTCGTGCATTTTCTTGCTTTAACCTCTAAGCAAAAAGGACTTTGTTACAAAGGCCGACAGCTCGCCACGCACCCTGTCGCTAGCTTCTTGTCACTCTTCGCACTCGTACCAAGCTCCCTTCGTTTGTTTCGACAATCTACACAAGCAATACTATATCTCTTGTCCCTGCTTTTTCTGAACCTCGTAGACGCATTCTAGCCTGAGATTTGTGGCTTGGTATCAGATCCACCCGTCCTGCTGAGCGTTGGAATGTCCCCGGAGTCATCGCGTTCTGCTAAACGGTGCGTTTAAGCATCAATCATGAACGTATATATGTTGATTTCATCTTTCAGTTAGTGAGAGCAGCTTCGTGACCTTTCCTATCGGAGCAGAGGGTTGTTTGTTGGTCTCTTAACTCAACGTATTCTATCTCCTCCTGTCTGCAACATAGACTTAGATCTCTCATTATCGCAATCAAATTGCTACGACATGCTGCCGTTAACCACGTCCACACGAGGTCCACGCTTAATGTCGCCTCCGAGAGGATCTCCGGTGCATGGAGAGGGCAAGATCTCGCTGCGCGTGGATCAGCCGGTAGAAGGCTGTAAAATGATGACACACGCTTTTTTTCCGCTCTGGGGATGGGGACATTGATGATAATGACGTGGACATGCAATTCCACTGGTACAGGTCCTCTATGCGTCGAGCATGTGCCAACAGTGAGTGCACGCGACAAACGACGGATGGTGTTGGCAATGTGCTGCTGCTTGTTGCCAATATCGAGTGTGTGCAGTGCTGTAGACTAGGAATAACGCGAAACCACTCGTGTTTTTGCAGTTCAGACTGCTTTCGCTTGGCGTGGCACAAGCATAAACAGCTGCATGATGCGCAGGCACTCGTGAAGGCTCAATCAAGGTACGGAGACGACATTCCGTGGAAAGCGCAGCTGCACAATATGGAGATATTTTGTCCGCTTCCAAAGGAATCGTGGCTCAAGGTGCAGGAAGAAAAGTAGGCCCCTAGCTAGATGAAGCAGTGTTGGTCAAGACTGAGTATCTCACGCGCATGGCACTCTTGTCTTGCAGTCGATCGTACACGCCTTCCGCTGACGACGTGGGTTACGTGATTCGAGTAGAGTGCAAGGCCACGATGCGCATTGGCGGTGGCGTGCTTACCAAGACAGTCGACACTGGGATCGTGCTGCCGTGTAAGTGTGTACTCTATTGCTCTGCTAGGCTAGGTCACTCCTTTCTTGTACTGTGTATGTGCTGAAACTGATGCATGTGGTTCGACCAAGTTCCACCCATGCCACCGAGGCGCCAGATGCTGGCGAATGTGAATGAAGAGCGTTTAATGCCGCGGCTACGGCAGATAGGCGTCTTCCGTGTACTTACGTATAACGTTCTGGCTGAGATATACGCTACACGACAGATGTACCCCTACTGTCCGATTTGGGCTCTGAGCTGGTCGTTCCGAAGAGAGTTACTGAGGCGTGAGCTTCAGTCATACAATGCTGACATAATTTGTCTTCAGGAAGTACAGGGCGACCATTACAAAAGTTTCTTTGCCCCAATGATGGACGAGTGGGGATATGAAGGCTGGTACTTGAAGAAGTCGCGCGAGTCGATGGGGCTAGAGGGAAAGGTAGATGGATGTGCTGTGTTTTACAAGCGAAACCGATTCATTTTGAAGGAACGGTACCCGGTCGAATTCAACGAACTAGCAAACGCCTTCCTTAACCAGGTAAAAAATGAGTACGATCTAGACTACCAAGGACCTTCGATGGCTGCACGTGAGATGTTTCTATCCTTACTTAACAAGATGCGGCAACGACTTCAGCGCGACAACGTGGCGCAGATTGCAGTACTAGAGGTGGTTCCCGCAAACAACGAAACAGTTGCACGGAAGTCACAGTCTGGGCCGTTGCTCTGTATAGCAAACGTGCATATTTTCTCCAATCCCAAGTTTCCCGACGTCAAGATGTGGCAGACAAATATGCTAGCAAAGCAGGTTTGTTTTGTGAGAAGGATGGGTGAAGCAGATAATTGATACATACTGACGTATTATTTTGTATGTTCGTCTTGTGACAGCTTGAACGGGTAACGTTGAGCAGGAACGTGCCCACGATACTGTGTGGAGATTTCAACAGCGAGCCTACTAGCGCTGTGTACGATTTCATGACACGTAACCATGTCTCGTTTGATCACCCGGACATCCAGTATCCGCCACCTCAACTTGCAAACTTTTACGCTTCGCTTGACCTGGAGCACAGTATTGGCTTTGCCAGTGCCTACGCTTCAGTGTTTGGTGCGGAACCAGAGTACACAAACTATACAGGCATGTGACTCGTCGTCACTTCTCTTTGGCAGCAAGTGATGTTACTAAATTCAACGACTATGTTTTACATGTTGTCAGGTCGCTGGACGGGCGTGGTAGACTACGTATGGTATACACCGGCAATGCTGACGCCATTTGCCGGCCTAAAAGTGCACCCGCCTCATGTGCTCGAGTCATATTCAAAGACTGCATTGCCTAATTGCCAGTTTTTATCCGACCATGTTCCTCTCTGTCTAGACTTCAGTATTAAGGCTGGCGCTAACAACAACAATGGAAGATACTGATAGAGGATGCTTTTGTTGTTCTGTATGCAGTTATGTACCATGTTTACATCGTTTGAGCATAATCATCACTAACATTTTCAGTCCGCTTACTGTCACCGTCTGTCTACTGCCACTGAACGTACCTCCCACGTAAATATGGCTTCATTCCTGACAATATGCAGACATCGCAGGTGTATGCAGTCGACCGCGTGTACGGTGATCTGCAGCCACAGTTTGTGGCTAAGGACGTACTCAAGGCGTTGTCCCAGCTGGATGCCGTCGTGGGGGACGTTTTCAACCGCCTAATGCACAAAGTTTCACAGGAGAAGGAGCGTGTGGCTGCCGTGGACGCGCGGATCCAAGTGTGCCAAGCGAAGGTGAACGCGTTGACGGCGCGACGCACCAGCAACAAACCAACGACTGTATTCTCTACCTCGAGGTATCCAGCACCAAAGAATTTGCCTCTTTCTAAGACGCTGTTTCATGACAAGCCCTACGCTGACGCGCCGCCGTTGGTGCCGGATGCTGACGATGACACGCACTTTTTGCCGGCAGAGCCCCTGCCCTCGGCGCAAAGGGGACAACACATGGCTGAGGTGGTGGAACTTTTTGAAAAGGTGAACGAGTATCAGAAAACACAGCAGCCAGAAGCCGATATGGAAAAGGAAGGACTGGGTAGACTGCCCGAATATATCCCGTCAGTGGGCAGTGTGCTGCTATTTAATTCAGGAGAAAACCCGTACCAGAAGGTATGGAGACTAAAGAGGCCTATGGATGTGGGCGGAGTAAGACTAATTGCTGGTTGCTTGTGTGTAGTACACGTCATGGGACAACTTGTTGGGCACGGATTACGAAGAGGAAGAGGAAAAACAGAAGGAGTTGGCGAAAGCGCCGCGTACCATCGAGTACGGGGACGAGCTGGTGAGTAGGCTGTTATTTGGTGCATTGGTATCTGCCTGTTCACTAATGATAAGGTTTATTAATGCGTAGCCAGCGGTTCACGGACTCAACTACGAATTCCATCCGTCAATGGGTATCATGCCAGATATGTCGGCAAAGTTGCCTACGAACTTACCACTTGAGAATATTGCTGACTACAAGTACGCGCAAGAGAGCAATACGTCAATCGCGCCTTCCATGTTCCAGGACAAGACACTGCCTGATCTGCCTGCGATCGCAGACTTCGCCGAGGGACCTGCAGCTCAGGAGCCATTGGAGCAACACTTCCAAGTTGGGCCAGTTGACAATGCACCACCACCACCTCCGCCAGCGCCCCCCGTGGACTTTACAAAAATTGATGGTGGCGCCCCGCCCCCACCGCCACCTCCGCCACAAGGGGAAGAAGAAATTGCCCCACCCCCACCTCCGCCGCCCATGGAGACTGTTGAGGACGAGGACATGCCACCTCCTCCTCCGCCACAAGAGGTGCATCTTGCATGAGCTGCTTTTGAGGAACATGCCTTAGCGCTCTAACACAAGTATTATCTCTCGCTTATCTGTATACTATAGGATGGCCTCCCTCCACCGCCAGCTCCAAAGGAGGATGGCAACGAATTGCCACTCACTAGCTTGTTGGATCAGATTCGAAACCCCACGATCAAGCTCCGCAAAGTAAGCGCTAGTACTTCTCGAAATCGTATTCGTGCTCTAACCTCTGCTATCACAGGTGAACCCGAGTGAACACAAGGCCGAACCTGTTGCGAAGACGGCAGACAACGCTAACAAACCGCTGACTATTGCTGAAGAAATGCAGCAACGAATGCTGCGGCGGCAGGCCGCAATTAGTGGCAAGCAAGATCAGATGGAGCAGAGACGTGAGCGAGAAAAGGCTACCGCAAAACCGGTGCCAGTGCTAACTGCGAAGGAAGTGACGAGTTTGACTCAGCCCCCGCCGCCCCCGCCTCTGTCTGACGGCGGACAGGAACACAGTAAATTGCCCACACTGGCCATGTCAGACGATGGTAGCGATGATGGCCACAGGCGCTACAGAGACGACGACAAGTTCACCGGTAGCGATGACTTTCTGGCCCAGATCCGAAATATTAAGCGAAAGCAAGACGAAGATGGTCAAACTGCTGGTAGCCACAAGCAGCCGCCTCCACCCCCAAAGATCGATGAAATTAAGAACCCGGTGGCGAATTTTGAATCGGTACGTACGCCGCGCGATTACTTTGCTATGTGTGGTATCTTGTGTGCGTGTGGAAATTGGGTCTGGTAATTTGCACGTGAATACTGATTATTTTTCTTGTATATAGCAAATGGTTGGACTACGAAACCGTGAAGACTCGCTGAGTTTATCTGAAGCTTCGGACTGGTCGGACGACTAAGCTAAGCCGTGGCCCACGTAAATTTACACGGACATAATCTTTCACTAGAATGCTGAGCGTGATGAATCACCTTTTGTAGCATTAGCGTCTGCCTAACCTGGGAAAGACTTTTACTGCTCGCGTTTGAATCGTTTTTTTGCGATCGGCATTTTCTCTTCGAGAGAATGTAAGTTTAAAGCCGAAATGCCGAAGATACAATACGTTGAAGCTTCTGGCATGCGTCCTCGGTAAGCTTACATTGTCTCCTTTTCGACTGCCGGCTGTTGATTATTCCCTTCATCTTGATCCGTGGAAGCGTTTTGCCTTATATTTCTCGCTTATGATCAACCCAATCATTATCGTTAACATTCCTTAGGTTTGTCTAAACGAGCACAAACGAAGCTCTTTCTTCCACTCCTTATGACGACTGCGGAGCTTTTTCATGCTGCTAAAATTGCAAGTTCAGATTCCTGTGCAGTTCCTGTGCAGTTCCTGTGCAAGTTTACTGCTCAAGGCAATGAAGCTTGAGCGCTTGATGAGCCCAGCTCGCGCCGTATAGTATCAAAAGCGCTGCATTTACCGCAACATGACACTAGCTTCGATCTCAGATGTCTTGTAACGTTTTTGCCAATGTAGGATCGTTGCCATACCAAAACACGTTAGTATTTCTTTAGACTTCTTGCGTCGCGTTGTCTTTTCTCAAGCTCACGAGAGCAAGCATCCGATGCATAAACCATTTATTCCATGCGTCCAGTTCCACGCACTTGCATTCGTTTATGAAAAAAGTGACTAAAATGGTCAACTTTCTAGCGCAAAACGCTTCAACGAGACGTCGTCTCGATATCAGTGTTGCCAAACAATGTAGCCTGCAAAAGGTATGTACATCCCTCTTCGCATTCGGTGTCGAACTACAACCCCTGTTACTATCGTAATCTTGCTGCGTATGGGCTCATTGTTTCGTTGAGCTCGACGGTATTCATACACTTCAAATTGATTGCTCCAAATTGGTGGTTCCATTAACGTATATGTGCTGAAATTCGAATTTGCTCGCTATATCGTTGAAATATTTTGTCGTCTCTCGACTTGTACAAATGAGAATGACCAACATAGCCAAAATATGTACTTTACGTGCTTCCAGATTTAGAGAATGCTTTCACTAGTGCGCTTCAACTTGACGCGTCTTGGCAATGATCACGTACAACTTAACATGTCACAGGCCGATTGTAACCATGGTGCATCAATGTTGTCGCAGCCAAATTTTGTTAGGGCATCTTCGTGATTGGCTCTGAGTGCAGACGACATTCATGGTTTTGGATTAGCCGATCAATAGGCGACCTAGATTCTTATAATTCGATCTTTCTTTCCGTTCCCATTTTCGATTCTTCTACAAAGCTACTTCTACCTCACAACAGCTCCGCCTGCATACAAAACCTCAGCACGACTTCTATAAGTCATCAACTTCCTCCGCTTCCTACTACCAATTGTTATTTTCCGGTAACTCGCGCCGTAGATGGTAGAATGGGAACTGAATAATACATTAGACGACTTAGCCTGCAGTACTCAAATCACGTTACCTAAAACTCTCTCGTGTCTCTTGCTATCCGTCGCCTCTTGCCATCAGTAACCCCGTCCCCCAACAGTCTTGGCTGTTCGGTGCGTTGCTTCATCTTTTCTTCATCGTGTATCGAGACGTCGACATCACTGGCTCTCTGTGCAGCGTCTCTGCTCATGCGACACCGTCAATCTTTAACACTCCTACTTGTCGACGGCTCCATGCTTCTTCCACGCCCTCGCTACGTGATCTGCAGCAGCGTTCGCAACTCGACCAGCTTGCTCGCGTCAAGGGCTTTAGTTATCACGTCAGCGAGCATGAGCTCGCTCTTCACGTAGACAGGCACCACAATGCCACGTCGCGCTTGTTCGCACAAGTACTTGACGCGAACGTCGATGTGCTTTGCTTTCGTCGATGTCGCTTCACCTGCTATCTGCACAATTGCCGCCTGGTTGTCAATGTGCATCGTGAGCGGCAGTGTCAATGTCACGCCGATCTCGGTGAGTGCCTCGCGTATGCCGTGTAGCTCGCGTCCGGCTTCTGACGCCGCGACGAACTCTGACTCCGTTGTACGCAGCGCCACGCCGCCTTGATTCTTAGACCACCCTCCCAGCGCCATGTCATTGAGGAGCACCACGCAGCCACTCAAAGACTTCTGGTCCGACTTGTCGGCGTCACTGGATCTGACGAGCGTTGGCTGTGCGTCCGCTTGCGCCGTCGCTGTCATCCGGATCGTGAGAGCACGTGTGCCGCTCAGATAGCGTACACCGTGCTTCGCGAAATTCCGTCTTGCGTGCGCGGAGCGTGTCTCTGCCACGTGACCCCATGTACCGCAAAAGAGATGTTGGGTCTTGTGCATCTGGCCACCCAGAGCAACGAACCCACAAGTGACTGACGCGTGCGGACGTTCGGCTGTCCTGGCGCGCTCGTGACCGGTAGTAGCTCGCTCTCCACGCTCACTGTGTCGTATCAAGTCAACTCCGATTGGCGCGCGCGCCGCATTTTCCTCGAGCATCCCGTGCTGATGTATAACGTCGAGGATCGCCCCCTCCTGATCAAGCAGGTACTCGCGATCGTTGCTGTGCGTCACACACATGCCCCGAAACTTTAATACCGGCCCAAGGCTCTTGCTTGACAGGAACTTGAGACTCGCAAAGAAAAATTCGACTACTTCGCATGTCGTCCGTTCACCAGAAGATCATCGACGTAGACGCCCACGATCACCACGCCGACCGCGTCGCGCCGGTAGTACAAGCACAGGTCACTGATGCAGTGCGTAAAGTACGCCTCCTTAAGACGCTGGTGGAGCAACTGGCTCCATAGCCGACCCGCCTGTTGAACTCGTACAAGCTCTTTTTGAGTTCGAGCTCGACTTCGGCATCGCTGTCCACTCTAAGTCCCTTGATCTTGCCGTTGCCGATCGTCATGCCCTACGTGCAATCAGTATCTTCAGATAATGCTCTTTCTCCGCCTTTACATAGGCATTCGACACGGCGTCATGCTTGGCGGGAACGCCCCAGTTCGCAGAGACAGCAAGAATCATTTTAACCGTCGTCATATCCATGACGGCGGCAAACTTGAGCGCGTAATCCATGCCAACCACTTGCTCCTTTTCTGATACCACTAAACGTGCCTTGTGTCGCTCCATATTGCCGTCAGCAGGGGTCTTCGTCTTATCGACCCATTTGATGTAAAAACACGTTGCTGCGGATCGGGCGTCGCGACAGGGTCCACACGTCGTTTGCCTCGAAAGCGGCGATCTCCTCTCATAGCAGCAGCCTGCCACTCCTGTCTCTTCACGCTTTTCATGGCTTCAGCAAAGTTTCAAGGATCGCGTTGAAAGACGTGAGCGACTAAGTCGCCCGTGCTTGGTGATTTAACATGGATCGACGCAGCCTTTTTCGTGGCTTCTCGCGTTGCGTACGGCTGGCGATTCTGCTGGCTCTTTTACTTCGACTAGCTGGTCTGCTGTCGCTTCGGCTCTTTTGCGCGCCCTCGTTAGCGTCTTCTCGATCGTCTTTATCGAGCTCGAGTTGCAGCTGCCGGTTTTGTGCTTTAGTCAGTGTCTCAATGTTCTGCGCGTGCTGAGTGGTGATCACCTTCTGGTTCTTCTTGAGATACACTCGAAACCCCTTCGTCTCGTTGCTGCATCCTAGGATCGAGCCAAATGAGCACGATGTGCGAAGTTGTTATTTGCGGCGTCACGGTACACAGTGCAATGAGACCCGAAGACGACGATGTTTCGCAATTTCGGCGCCTTTCCCGTCAAAACCTCGAGTGGTGATGCGCGCTTCGGGCTCGAGTTGGTGAGACTTCTGTTGAGTATGAAGGTCAAGTATTCTGCTGCATCACCTCGAAACGTGAGCGGCAGCACAGACGTTAAGATAATCGCTCTGGTCATGTTGAGTAACGTTCAATGCATCCGTTCTGCTTTGCCGTTGAATGCCTGATTCTTCGCCTCACTCACTTGCCTCGTGACTCCTGTGGTCTTGCAGAAGAGGTCTACGTTCTATTACTCCCCGCCGGTGTCAGTCCTGAGGAAGGCGATACGACATTCGAATGTCGTTCAAGAACGCCAAAAAATGTTTAAAATTTAGTCGCGGCGGCGTCTTTCGTACGCGCCAGGAAGCTGCGACAAAAATTGCTCTTGTGATCAATAAAATTGATCAGGTACCTGTTTTGCAGTCGATCAAAAAAAGCAGGCGTCAGAGGTCCCTTGAGGTCAGAACACCCAAAATAACACCGCCAATAAGATCGATTGGAGCGTTTCGACCCGAGTTCTTCTGACTCTGCTTGTTCTTGGTTTGTTTGCTCTGCGCGCAGGTGGTCACCTCATGCGCTTTTTGTCCGTGAGCTCAATGCCCGACGACGGGTTCTTGGCGATTTTCTCGATCGTGTCGAAAGCAAATTGTCCCAAGCGCTGTTGAGAGTGAAGCAGTGAGCCTCGTTGCATCACTGGTGACGTGTCGGCCGCAAGCTCGTCCGGAAGCGCAGCCATGATCACGTTAACTGGCTCTATCGTTCTCGCGAGCATGCCAACGGTTCTGACGACGAGGCTGCTATTCTGGATCACCACGTCAAATACAGCGAGTACATCACTCCGACGCGCCACGACGCGTTTACCATTCAAGTACAAGAGCGTATATCCGCTCGTATCGAGCTTCCCGTAGCTCACGATGTTACGCGCGACGCTCGACGCAAAGTATACATTCATGAGCAGTACAGTGCTCTTCTTGCCGTCAGCGATGACAAAGAGCCGCACGTCGCCGCTGTCTTGCACAGCTTGAATGACCTGGTCATCACTGCTGCTGTCATTGTCGTCTTCCTTGGGTTTCATCTTCGACCTGCCGTCGACCTTTATATGCCCTTTTTTTTCAACTTAAAGCACGTGCGAGTCTCCTTCGGCGTCTAGCTGTGTGCTACCGCTGTGACGACCTCACTACAGAGATTTCGTCCCGTCTTTCTCTCAAGTCTCGACGGCTTGTGCAAAGTGCGCCAGCTCTTCCACTTGGCGCAAGCGGCCGTACCTCCCGTTGTTATACTTCGCCATCAACACGGTACTGAGCTCACTCGACGCGTAGCGGACGATGTTGTCCAGTACTTGTGCCTCGGCGCCACCACCGCACGCATTGCAAACAGCGGCCAAGTAAAGAAAGTGTTCCGGCAATGAACGCTTCGGGTCCTTTCGTGCGGTAAAGAGTTTCATACTTTGCGACGCCGTGATCGTCGTCCTGAACGTGTGCAACAGTCGACCCATCGCGTGATCGAGTGTCGCGAACTCGAGCCGCCAGGTGTAGACTGTTTCTGGTAATAGCGTTCAGCCGTGACTGCCAGATAGTGTCCCAGTGGATCAACTTTGACATCTTCCGCCCTTGCGAAGCCACACGCTTGCTGCGCCATCGAGACTTATCGGAGGAACGTTCTTCTCCAATCCGAGAAGCCTGAGCCGAGGCCTTGGTACAACTTACTCCTATCGAACTTTTGAATGGCGAGATTGCGTTGGCGCTTCCGGCGTGCGCATTGGCATTTATTGCTTCGGCGCTGGAAGCACTGGAGGCGCTGGCACGTGCTTATACTCATGAGCCGGCGCCGGCGCATAGAGTAGTACTTGTTGCCGAGCTTGCTGTTGTCTGCCGCCTCGTTGCGGCCCAAGCGGTTTAAAGAGCGAGATCCCTGGTTGCGCCACGCGCACTCGTTTGCGTGCTGGTCGCGGCGCGTCGTAGCCAAGTGCGTCCTATGCATTGAAGTGCCGCCCATGCCGCGGTCTAGCTCCAATGCGTTTACGTCCGCATCGATCGCTCCTGGCAGCCGCTCTTCCTCGTCGACCTGCATCTGCGACGTCTCGAGCGCCTGGAGCATAGTGAGGACCCTATCATCTGTGCTCGCACCCCTTTCGTGGGCTTGGGCATCGACGACGACAGCTGGCTCTCGCACGTTCATTTCTCGGCAGGGTGCTGCTGAAGCAGGGACGAGTCGTCTACCGTTGGCGAAACCGAAGTTAGGCTCATAACCTGTTATCATCGGGTGACTTGCAAGAGAGAATGGGAGCTGAAAAATGTATCAGACGACTTAGTCTGCAGCACTTAAATCCGGACGTTACCTAAAACTCTTGGTGTATCGTGCTTTCCGTCGCCTCTTGCCATTAGTCGCCCCGTCCCTCAGAGCAGTTGTGGCTCTTTGGTGCGTTGCTTCATCTTTTCTTCATCGTGTATCGAGACGTCGACACTCACAGGCTCTCTGTGCAGCGTCTCTGCTCATGCGACATCGTCGATCTACGACACCGGTGGGAAAGACCAAGAGCTTGCTTACGCAAATAACTTCAATGGCTTGCGCAGCAGTGATGGACGTCTTGAACGTGGCAAGCATCTGTACCATCACGTAGTTGAGAGTCGGCTGCTCGAGCCACCACGTATTGACTTGCTTGTGATAATATATCTCGGCAGTGCCGCTCAGATAGTGCCCGAGCACGTCGACCTTAATGTCCTCCGTCCACAGCAATCCTTACGCCGCTTGCGCCACGTTGACCTGGCGGAGGAACGTGCGTCCCCAGCCGTAGAACCCCGAGCCGAGACCACGGTAAAGCTCAGTTCCATCGAACTTATGCACTGTCAGCTCCGCTGCCGCGCGTCCGGTGTCCCGATGTACATCTGCTGATGCCCATACCTCAGTGCCTACGCTGCGGCGTGATCAGCAGCGTGCTCCTCGGCCGTCTCTGCATCTGCGCTGGCGCAGCGGCTGGTGCACATGCACGCATTTGCTGCGGCTGCGGTGACAATGCCGGGAAGCGAGGGTCGAGCGAGTGGAACGTCGAGTACTCCTGACTCGGCGTCGGAGCGCGCACGAGCGGCGCTCTGGCCGGCGGTTTCCGTTCAGGCTGCTCGAGCGCATCGATTCGCATCGTTGCCGCACCGAGGTTCACGCCGAGTGACGATGCGAACAAGCCAATCTCGATGGCCCCTCGCATCCGCTTGTCTTCATCGAGCTTGATCTGGCTCGCCTCCATGCGCTCCATGCGCGACGAGAGCGCATTAAGCATCGCGAGAATCTTATCCTCCTTCGCCTAGCCCCTTTTGTGGGCTGGCGCATCTTCAACGACGGCAGCAGCACACGGCAAACGCGCTGTAGATGCTCCACGGCCCGATGAGGCTCTCGCTTGGCCTGCTAAAACCGGTGCTGCTTTGTCGTCTTGTGGTCCAGCCATTGGGCTCATAACCTTTAAGAAAGGATGTACGTTAGTTGCAATAGGTGAAATAGATTCTGTGTTCATCTCTCGCTTTTGTTCCTCTTGCTGTGCTAGCTAGCTGCAATCTCTCTGCACCAATCACTCTCTAGCGTCGCCCTCGACTCTTTAAGCACCTCTTCGCTGCCTCCCATGTGTTGCCTAGCGCTACCAAAAAGACGCGTCCTTTCGCGTCGCCAGAAAGTGCTATACGACTAGATATGCAATTTCTTACACTGTCATGTACGACATAAAGTGCGACGAGCCACCAAAGCTACTGCAAACTAAGTACATACAGCGCTCTTCCAATGCCATGATTCACGATTACTACGACTGCGACAAGAAGCGCTTTAGCATCGTGGAAGTTGTTTATATCAGGGGTATCAGATGTGGAACATTTACTACAGCACGTTCAGCAGTAGCACGGTAACAAACAAATTGCACGTGCCCTTACTTATCGAAGTCGTTTCTGCAAAACGATGTAGGGTTCTCCTGGTTGACCACGAGGAATTCGCGACAAGTGATTGTGTAGTTATCTATGCCAATCCTCATCGCCGATCCATTAGACGACGCACCACGACAACGACTGTTGAGATTCAGTTTATATTATTAACGCGTTGGTTAATCTACGGTGAACTCAGGTCAGCTCGCTGAGTTCTCACGCGGACGCTTTCGTGTGGCCGCGGGGGTCGGAGGTGCACCATATTGCTTATTGGCATATGACCTCTTCAGTCCATCCAAGCACTTGTCCATTGCAGTTTTGTGTTTCACGATGGGAGAAGGGTAGTCTTTGCCAATAAGACAACCCGAGGCATGCTGTAAAGTAAGTGGAGCTTTCCAGGGCTCGTAAATGTATTTGGCTGGCATTTTCTTGAGCGCTGGAATATACTTCTTGATAAAACGCCCTTCCGGATCCCATTTTTTGCCAAAGGATATTGGGGAGTACACACGAAAGTACGCCGTGAAGAAATAGCTGCTGCTAAGCCACAGCCAGTTGCCAGCATTAACACTCCAGTCATGATCGATCAGCTGCTCTTGGAAAACCTCGAACCCACGAACCCACGAAATATACAAATCACCGCGTGTAAGAAAGCAAGCTACCGAGTGACGTGCTAAATGATGCACCCAACCTTCCTCCTTCAGCTGAATCATAATGGCGTCGATCCAAGGAAAACCAGTCTGACCATTTTTCCAAGCCTCAAACTGAGTGCGAGCAAGTTTGTCGTCGTCAGTCATATCCTTCTCTTTCTCCGGAATTGTATGCCAGCGCCAATTTACCTGCAGGCAAGTACGACTCTCCTCCATTTTGTCAAAATACGGGTTGGCCCGACCATGGCAATGGTAGAATTCTCGCCAAAGTAATTGTCCATCCAAACTTACAGGTGGAGCTGAAGCTTTCTTTTGCCTTTCTTGAATAGCTCGCACTCGATGATAAAATGTTCGCGGGCTGAGGCATCCAAAATACAAGTACGCACTCAACGTAGTCGTCGATGTATCCGGGGGCAACTGCGCAGGAGAAGTTTTGGGCTTTTCAAACTTACCCACACGGTCTTCATCTTGACAAAAGCTCTCTAAGATCTGTAGCGCCTTCTGCTCGCCCCCATACAGAAACGAATGTTTACCAGGCGGTTTGTACCCAAAATCCTTCAGATCTAGTAGCGTAAACTTGAGCCTAGGACCGGCAATCTCGTGTAGCTGAGTTTGAATATCCTCTTCGTTTTCCTGCTTTGTTGCTTTGCCGACGTTCGATTTTTCTTTCCAGTAATCTACTGCTTGTTCGTATAATTTACTGTTTGTCGTCTTAGAGGTAGGGATTTTGTCCGGCGTCGAAAGTGGCTGAGATGGCGTAGGTTGTGCAGCCACCGCTTTGCAAAATGCCCGATACGTTTTAGGAGCTGTTCCGTTGTTGTCTTCAATTATTGGATCGAAATCGTAAAGATTGTATCCATTTGTCACGTGAGTTTCCACGCCTAGACTTTTTGCCAGTGCTTGCACACGGTTATCTCGCTCAACAGCATAAGGTTCACAGACTGCGTCAAAGAACAAGTGTGTAATACCCCATGCTGGCAAGAGGCATTTCAGTACGTCAATGCCGTCACCTCTTGCAACCACAAGCTGCGAGTGACGTGTAGCCAAAGACTCATGCAAGTCCGACACGCTTTCAAGCAGAAATTGAAAACGTGTTACACCGCAGCGCATAATTCGAGGTCGATGGATAATGTAGAGCGGTATCAACTCGATCTGCACAGCATCTTTCTTCTTCTTTTGATTCTTTTCCTGCTGCTGGATCAATGTCAGTGCCGCATGGAGTGCAAAATTGTCGTGCAAACGAAGATCACGACGAAACCACACTATGATCCGCATTCGAGTAAGCATCTTCAAATGGTTCAAATGAGTCAAATGAGCTCGAAAGTATCTGTTTCGATAATGAAAAGGCACTTTTAACGACCGACCCTTTTGGCTACGGATGAAAAGAGAAAAACCTCAAAGGGCGAGCGAGATTTTCTTGCTTTTTTACTGCAACTTAATATCGTATTCTTATGTATACTACATAGTAATACGTATCGGCACATCGAAAATAAACAAGCTTTCTTATATATATATTTCCCGTATCAGTAAGTCATTCCCGCTTGGATCAGTACAAAACCCCATTGATTGTCATGTCCTCGTCATCCACAAGTGAGCAACAGCGTGTGGCATTTCGCTCCACAGTATTAGTCACAGGTTTTGATGGAAAAGTTGAGTGTGTCACGCACTATTCATCTCGTGTTGTGATGGGCTCAAAAGATGGTCGCCTTATCATGTATGATACGCGAAAAGGGACATCCACATCGACAGCTTCGTATACATTTTCACATGGAAAACGAGTGGAATATTTATTAGCTGTACCACATATTCGAATGCTAATTGTTGTATCCAATGGAGAAATCTCAGCACATGGAGCTACAGATTTAAAACCACTGGATTTTGATTTTTCAAAGGCAAATACGCATCAAGTACGTTTGATATGTGTGAATCAACGTGGACCACCTCATTTTCGACTTGGTGTTGCCTTACTGAAGCGAAAAGCTATTGTTATTTACCAGTATCATAGCAACGAAAAGAGTTATGCTTATTTACGAGAATTTAGTACACAGGATGTACCTGAAGCTATGAGCTGGTACCGAAACAAAGTGGTTGTTGGATATCGAAAAGATTATTATCTGCTTAATGATAAATCGGGTGAAGCCATGCAGATTAATTCACCTGGAATTCAAGACCCGACAGTGTTTCCAGTAGTTAAGTTGCTACCAAAGGAAGAAATTTTAATTGCCGTGATGCACCGAGTGGGTGTTTTTGTAAATTTTACAGGGGATGCTGTGGCCAAGAACTCAGTCACGTGGTCACAGAGTCCACAGCAAGTGGAATTTTCGTCCTCCTATTTGCTAGCTCTGGTGCCGAGAGTTGGTGTGGAAATCCATCGGACTAGTGACGGAGCCTTGGTGCAGACTATGCCAATGACTCGAGCAGTCTGTATGTTTGCCAACGGTATGAAGTGGGACATGGAGCCGAGACCGAGTGGGGATAGCGAAGATGTGGTGATTGTTGGCGTCAGAGAATCGAACGGAACGTCGAGTGTCATGAAGGTTGAACCTATGCCGCTAGATCAACAGGTTGGAGAGCTTTTAGACCGTGGACAGATCGATGAGGCACAGAATTTGGTGCGCAAGTCCATTTCGTCTATGTCGAGTGACAAGCAGCGCAGCAAGATTAAACGGTTCCAGCGCCAGGCTACAGTAGCGCTTCTACGTCGGTTGGAGTTTGACAATGCCGCAGATTACATGTACCGTGCTGCTATAGAGCCGTGTGAGTTCATTGCCTTTTTTCCAGAGCTTCAGTGCACCTCGTTTGCATATGAACCTTCCATTTTCAAGCCTGAGGTGTTACCGCGTGGCAACAGCTCTGCACCTGATATTACGTCTGTTATTCAGGAACTACTTTCATCTCCACGGACACCTCTGAATAGTGAAATTGCCAAAAGTGACGCTTCAGATCTCGTCAGCGCCGCGCAGAAAGCACTTCTCAAGTTTCTTAACCAGCACAAAAAGCATATGCGGGACAAGGCTCGTGCCCGTGCGCACCCAACGTCATCTTTAAGAAGCGGTTCTGGTTTCGCTGGAAACCCGAAGGATGCGCGTCGCGTAGAAGCCATTGACACTGCGCTCTTTCGCCTTTACGTGCACTTTAAGAGGTACAAAGAATTACTTGTTCTTATCCAAGAACCTAATCCTGACGTGGAGGGTCCGTCCGGATCTCTTGGAGGCTGCGCACTTGAATTGGAATCGTCACAGTCGCTGTTGATGAAGCACAAACTTTACTACGAGGCTGGCCAGTTGCTGTGTGCTCATCGAAATTACGATAAGGCTTTGGAAATTTTTGCCTTGTTGCACCACGGTGAGTACAAACAACGTGGTGGCACAAGCGGCATGCCAAAGTCTCCAATTGAAGCAGCAATCGATGTGCTGGTTACGGTTCCCGAGTCAGAAAGTGAATTTATCTTCAAGCAGTCGATTTGGATTATTAAGGCAACATCTGCCAAGCAAGCTTTGCGCATTTTCACTGATCGTCGACCACCGTTACCATCGAACGACGTGGTTGCACATTTGCGAGAACATTCAAGTGATTATGCTATTGTCCAGAGGTACCTTGAGACTCTCGTCAAGGCAACTGGTGACACTGGTGCCAACCTTGCGGGTGCAACAGCTGCTGTAACTGACAGCGGAAGCGCAATGGAGGGTAGTAGCCGAGGTTTTACTGCATTTGCTGACCCAGGTGCTATGGAGCTGGGGGTTAATGACAGTTATAGTCACTTCTTAGCTGGTGATAACGATGATGATGATGAGCCCGCGCGTGGGCCAGATGGTGCCACAACATCGATTGCGGTTGATCCGCATCACACCCGCTTGGCACTGGAGTATTTTGATGAAACCCTTCGACTTGTGTCGAAGGGAGAGGTACCGTCAAAGTCTCAACCAGGTAAAGAGCCTGGTGCGTTGGGTGATGCGCGCAAGAGGTTGCTTAAATTTCTCAAGTCTGGTTCGTCACGCTACGACGTGACTCCGCTAGTTGAGAAAATTAAGGGCAAACCGCTGTATAATGAGTTTGTCATTCTTTGTGGCCGAGGTGCACTGCACGAGGAGGCTGTCACGTCGCTAGTGTATGAGCTAAACGACTTGCGTGGTGCCGAGAGCTATTCTGTCAAATATGGAGCGCGTGCTTCGTCAGCCAGACCATCTTCTACTAACCAAAAGGTTGGAGCTGGTGCTTCCATGGAGCGCAACGAGGCCCTAATGAAGCTGTTGAAAATTTGCTTCTCTCCTCGTGATGAGTCAAAGAAGGCGACGTTTAACGACTTTGGCTTTCAACTGCTCGCACGCCACGGCAAAAGTCTGGATAGCGCTGCAGTACTGGAGATGGTGCCGCCAAGCACACCATTGTCGAAGCTGGGTGAGTTTTTCGCACAGGCTTTGCCACATAGTGCACATAATGTGCGGGAGATGAGTATCACCAAGTCATTGTCGAACGTCTACAACTTGCAGGTCCAATGCGACCGTGTAGAGCGTTTGTCCCAGAGTGTGCAAGTTGAGCCGAACACGCTTTGCCCGGTGTGTCACAAGCGCATTGGCGATATCGTGTTCGCCGTCTATCCAAATGGAAAGGTGGTTCATTACAACTGCACTAACAGCAATCTCCAGCTTTGCCCCGTAACGGGCGAGCGCTTCTCCTGAGCGTCGCGTGGCTTCATTTGCACAAGTTGATGGACACAGAACGAAGTAGGAATCGCATGGTGTATGCACGAAATTTATATTAGACGAGGTATGTACGTATATCCATCATCTCGTTAGCGTATCTGGCGTGATGCTTCTTCGCTTCTTGCGTGGCGTTAGGTGACTCCTGGCTGGCTCATGTTCGTTGTCCACGAAAGCGTCGCAGACTTTCAGGTGGTCATCGATACTTTCTCTCGACCGAATAAGAAACATGTGCGCACACGCCGACTCAGCTCGACCGAGTTCGTCACACACATAATCAGCAAAGCTTATTTGCTTTTTGCGGCGAAATGAAAACACTTTGCCGGCCTCAAGGCGCCCGGAAGCCCGCAATCTACCTTCAAATTTGTCAGAGCTCGACAGCACACATACTTCTTTTCCTTTCAGATGCCGGCACAAACGCTTCTGAATACGCCGACGTAATTTTAAATACGATCGATCACCTGCCGATGAGCTGCTTGCAGCGGAATTGCCAACTGATATTACCCTCTTCGTCGACACAGCAGCACTAATACTGTTCTCTGCTCCATGTCTCTTGGAAGCCTTCACAATTCTTCGTGGTGATGCTTCAGTCTCTGACGGTACATGACTCGCCTCAGGTGAAGACGAAGCTGTGACTGCTGCAACACTCCTCGCCACAAACCGCGGAATTCCTCTTGCTATCGACGCCATGTTATTTGCAGGAGGTGCCAATGTCAGAGCAGTCACTTTCATCGTCGTTAATCTCGGATGGCACTGAGCTACCGCTTCCTTTAACACCCTCGTATCTTCTTTCCGTTGTTCTTCCTCCAAGTTGGCAATTAGTAGCTTCATGTTATTGAATCCTGCAGCACTTTTCGCCATTAACTTCCTTTGCTCTTCGTATCCATGGAACGCCTCTTCCTTCGTCTTGAAAGTCCCAATTGTCAATATCTGATGGTTCAGTGTCAAATTACACAGCCACATTGTGTTTGCTTCGGTCTCTTCTTCTGATGAGCCAATGGACGTAACTTCCTGAAGCCCAAGGACGTCGGAACTCGAGCCTAGCGAGACGGTCGTCCCGCACAGATTCGCGGCTTTCACCAAACTCTTCTCATCTCGTTTCCCACCCTCAGAAACTGACAGACGGTCTACAATATTCTTTACTTGCTGCTTCATTATTGGAGACTCGGCCATGCGCTCCAATTGCTCCAGATCTCGCAGAAATGCGCTCGTAGAATCATACTGATAGGAATTGAGACGCCGTAACATGAAGCGACAGTGCTGCGTATAGAGATCATTAGAGACTGCAGGAGACGGCGATCGAGTGTCACAGACAGAGACGCTCATAGTAGACAAGATAGGTATGTTGCCTAATCGTGGAAGTTGCTTCAGCAGCACTGAAAAGTCACTGCGCAGACGCGCATTGAGTGCAACAACTTCCATGTTTGTTCGTAAGAAAGCTTAAGTAGAATTCAAGTCAAAGAGATCGAACGAGCAACATAAAGATGCATCATTGCGTTAAGCTGCAACTCGAATGTTAATGGGTACACCAAACCTTTCAATCTTTGATGGACACCTTTGAGATTTAGACATGTACTTACTGCGTCATATAAACGTCCTCGATCCTGAGTCAATCTTGTCTTGCATTGATCGCTTGATTTGTTGTTTGAGACTGACTAAGACCGGTGGCAGAGCTAAGACCTTGAGGCATAGCTGATGAGGTTAATGACATGGCCTGCGTGACGTCGATCGTCTGGGTCTTGGACGAATTGGACACGATCACAAGTGCCGCACCACTGATTATCAGCAATGAGCCAACGATTGTAAGCAGACCCGGAAATACATCAACACCCAGTACCACACCCATGAAAGCAGCCAGCACCGGCTCCACAAGCATCACGATGGACACGACAATGGGAGCAAAATACTTGATAGCAGCAATGTAGCCTAGCGTACCGATAAGTGTGCACACGACCACAATGTAGGCTTCCAATCCTATACGCAACGGATGCAGCCAGCCCAAGAGTCCAATGTCAGGATCTCGAGATGCCTCGAACGGGATCTCAAGCAGCGAAAACACTGGGAATATCAGCAGCGCAAGTATCACAAACATGCCAGCAAATAAAATACTGATGTCCATCTCAGTACGCAATTTCTTGGCGGTAATTAAGTACACAGCACCTCCCACGGCACCAACAAGTGCGACGAGATCTCCAGCCAATGATACTTGCACTACTTCGACTTTCGTTGAAGATGACGGCTGATGATCCAAAGTCGTCAGCACACCGCCTAGAGTACCAATAGCAGTTCCCAGACTCTCAAACTGTGATATGTATTGCCTAAGAAGCAGGCGGCCCACGACCATAAGTAGCGAGTGGCAGTTGTTAAATATGTAAGCGTGATCAATGGATGTGTGTGACAGTGACCATAGAAATGTCGTGAGGAAGACTGTGTACGAAAGCGAGCACGTCACAAAGAGAATCATATTCCGCGTCGAAAATTGCGGCAAGCCTTGGTTGTACAGTGCACATCCAGCAAGCGGAAGAAACACGACCAGGGACGCGGTTGTTCGCCAAAACAATTTCATGAAAGGGTCCACATTACGCTGCAGATCCAACGCCGCACCCAAAGACGATATCGCAAACAGTGATGCAAGTAGGAGCACGTAACCAACCAAAGGCACCTGGCGCTTTACAAGCAATTGCAGTTCCATTGTGCCATTGCAATATTCGATTGTTTCTACTGCAATATTTTTGACATCAGTCGGCAGCGACGACAATCTCCGTAACAAGCCAAGGGGCTTGTACACCGTGTTGCTATCTGGCACAGCAAGCACAAATTGTTGCGAAGTTTCCTGTACTGCACTAGGCCCACCTCCAGTTGTTGTGACTTGCGGGAGTTCAATCAGATAAGCGATCCGCTTCATAATTGACGGCACTCCACGCTTATCGTGTGACGTACCAATATTAGCACTGGCGCTAGATGATGACTGCTCAAATGGGATCGATAATACAAAAGAATCTTCCGCCTGTTTCAAGAACGAACTCCGCTTACGTCGGATAGCCAAAGGTACGTTTGGTCCGTCATATCCGCGCCATGAACGCGGTCTCACCAAACGACCAAGCAGTGGTGTATTTTCGCGTGCTTGAACTGATACTGTAGTACGTGCAGTCGTTGCAGCAGTATTCACTTCCTGCAGCTGATTCACGCCAACTACAAATCCTTCAAACACGTCTGCCGATTGACGCACATGCGCGTCAACTGCGCGCAGCATGGAGTCATCATCAGCAGCTGAAACAGCCAAAAACACGTTCCTCCCACCCGATGCAGTCGGCGATGGTGCCTTTTCACTTGGTTCCTTAGCGACAAACACCGGCCACGGCGACAGCAGCGAGATGCTATTGTTGGCCATGATTGCATCCAACTGTGCTTGAGTCTCTACACTCAGCCATGCATCGCCGTTAGTCTCCACATATTTCAATCCATAGCTCGGACGCAGTACATTTAGCGCCTCTGCCAAAGAATATTTTGGCTTCTCGTAGGCTAACATTTCCAATGCTGCGAAGAGTCTCGCCGTTGTCACAAATAAACCTGCATCTATAGCGTCAAATTGCTTTAGTCCACGTCCAATTTTGCGGATTATCCCGTTCGTCGAATCCAGTACTACTTTTCCTGCCGTGGACGGGAGACCCTGCAATTTATTTGTGTCTGTATCTACGAGCACACACGCGACACACCCTTCCATTTCAAAATGTGCCATACGAGTAATAATCGCGCGGTCAAAGATATGGTCCGCTGTATGAATCAAAAAGGGTTTATCAAACATCTCTCTTGCCGACAACAAGGTGCGTGCATGACCGTAGGGCGTCTCCTCTCCAAGATTCAAGAACTCGATCTGCAGCTTCGAGTATAGAAAACTCTCCTTCACATGTCCCATAATTTCATGTCCAAAGTACGAAATAATGATGACAACTCTCTCCATGCCAGCTACAAACAGCTGAGCCAGAATGTGTTCGATAAGCGTATAGTCTCCGAGCATAATAAGACATTTAGGAGTGTCGGAGCCGTCTAAACACATGGTACTCGAAGCTGCAGTGAGTAGAACCTGCTTGACACCCAAATCCACGGTCCCAAGCGGCACTGGACTACCGTGAGAGCTGTTAATATCTTCATCATCTCCAATTTTTTTTCCTACGGCCTCAAATGGCACTTCTTGGCCTCGATTTACAACGACACCTTGCATGTCCACCGCATCTTTTGACTGCATGCTGTACACCAGTTCTGCCTCAGAAATATGCGCCAACTCACTTAGTTTACATAGATCTAGTACATATACATTTGATGGTACCTCTGTATCAATATGCAAGTGTATACGGCCTTCCATGACTGTGCAACGGAAGACAGAGGGGATGCAATCGACTATATAACGTCAATGACTCGTCGTGCTTTTGGCTATGTTTGCAAAAGGTGTTCATTCATAAGAGTGACATTTGACTCATAAGAATGACATGTATGTATGATTTGTGTATTGTATATTAAAATGTGACAATACACAAATCATACATACATGTCATTCTTATGAGTCAAATGTCACTCTTATTTACCTCGAAACAAATATAAATTACACAGATTAGTGAAAATGACGTCCAGGGATAAGTACGAACAGGCACAGGCCATGGAGTTATTACTTCAGCAGTGTATCACAACAACACAAGAAAATACAATGTATGTACGACCTTCAAGTGACGCAAGTGATCGTGATAGTGCAGCAGCAAATGCGACAATCATGGACCTTTTGGCACAAACGTGCGCAGACGCTAACGCAGCGGTGCACGAGCTCAGCGTAGAGGAAATAGCGGATGGGTTGACAAGCGTTGTATGTGCTACACAACAAGCTTTGCGTAATGTTGGAAAGAATGTTTGTGCGATTTTACACGACTCGGAGCAAATGCGTGAGCTTTGTTATCATGTAAAACAAATGGATGCCAAGGTGCTTGAGACGTTGGAGAATTCCTCAGTGCTACTGGAAAATGAGCATCAGAGTGGCGATGGTGAAAATGATGGTGCTGTGATGGTGGCTAGAGGTACTAACGCATCAGGGCTTACCGTTCAGTCCCATGAGGAGAACGTGCGCAACATAATGGTATTTGCCGAGAGTATGTGCACGACGATGGACCATGCGCTGAGCACGATTACAAAGGACGAGATGAATTTGGCAGCGCAGTTGATTTTGAATATTGCACAGAAACTACTGGATGCAGGACATTCGCTTTTTACGTCGCTGGGCGATGATGAGCGCAGGAAAGCGCAAGCAACTGATCGTACTGATCGCATTACGATTGAAGAGCTAGAGGAAGATGAACAGGAAATTGACAGATCGGAGAAGGACGGTCTAAAGAGAAGCAAAAATAGCAGTCAGTTGCAACGTGCAGCCATACTGCGGACGTACGTGATGGATCTGTATAAACGGACGCGAGAAGAAGCGACGGAGCATCCGTTCCTGGCAGGAGCGTCCATTGCAGCTGGAATGCCGTTTATCGGTTTGGCGGTACATATTTGCTACTCTTGTTTGTAATGAAGTTTGTTGAGATATTCACATGAGTGAATTGTGTCGTAGATTCCTGTGGCGAGTTTAGTTGCACTGGCACTTATGATTGAGAATTATTACCCCGAGCACGCAAAGCTGGTGCTGGAGCTCTGTTCTCATTTTATCCAGGTGACGTTTATTCATGCGTGTTTTTGCTTTATAGTTTCTTGTTATTCTTGACATTTTCTTGCTGCCATGAATTTGTGCGCATAGATGTCCAAGCTGTGGTTTCTTTTGCTGAAGATTAGTGCACGACAGGTTAGCGTTGTGGCGAAAGAATGCTTTACCTCTTGGTACGAGTATGCGTCCATGAATGGTTTTATGGCAACAGGTCTGGAGTTGGCATCGACGGGATGTAGTCTCGGATACTTTGGTGTTTCCTATCTCTATCAGATGATTAGTCGTTATACGAAGCAAGCACTTGAGTAATGCTGAAATGTTAACTCCTAAATCATATGTGTAGCCATTTGTAATCCACATGTTTTGATCCATACTATTTTTATTTGTATCGTTTTTGCAGGAGAAAAAAAAGCTAGCTTTTTTTGATTAATAAAAAAAAACCTAATTCTCACGCCGATGCCCAAAAAGACGCATTTTTTATGATCTTTATTTTTCTACTAAAAAATTTACCTAAATTAATGCTGATACTTTCATTTGACAACTTCAGCTCGCGATTAGGAATGTCCACCACACCACATTTCTAGGTTTTTCTAGATTTCTCAAATATCCGTTCTTCAAGTCACGTGGATAAAACGCACTTAACCCGCCTTATGCCATAATGAGCTCATCGCCAGCTTCACCACCAGCTAGCAGCTCGCGTCGTTTTTCAAGTGGTAGTCGTCGCCAGCGCGTGCTGTGGGATAGTGACAATGTATCACGCGGTAGTAAGACATCCATTAGCGTCTTGTTGGAGTGGCTCATGACTCCAAGAAACTACGAGCGGTGGCGTGATAGCAAGTCCCAGACAGGTGAGTCGCGTGAAGTGTTGTGCTCGGAGATTAAAAGCGCCATGAAGCAGCACGGTATACACCACCGAGAAAATGCCAATATTCGCACGCAGATTAATGAACTGGAACGGTCCTTTGTTGCCGCGCGCAATTGGCTGAAGGAGAATAATTACGATCCATATTCATTTCAGTGCGTGACAGATGAAGATGAAACTGACGTCTTTGGTGGTCCTGCTGAAGCCCATGTCCTGCGTATGTGTCGATATTACCATACGCTAAATGGGGTCTTTGGTCACGATGAAGACAAAGGAGTTCGATATCGACAGACGTTCCATCAAAAACGGATAGGGATTAATCCTGTGGTGATTAAGAAACGCAACTTAGTAATTGAACACGATAATGTGCAGGAATCAGAACCACAAAGTGAACTATTGGTAAAGCAGCAACGAGGACAGGAGACTGAAGCAGATAATACGCCCCAGGCAACTACAGCACCAGTCGCGATCGCACCTGCGTCAACTACGGTCAGCGGTGTTGTATCAAGGGCTACTATTCCTGCTACTGAGTTGACAGAATCTTGCTCGGACCCGGCGGTAGTGGAAAGCACTCAGCGCATGCTGGCTGAAGCGGTGCGTGAAGAACGCGAACGCAAGCGGTTCCGCATGGAAGAAGAACGCAATAAGCTCCAGTGTGAAAAGCTGCGTTACGAGGTAGAAGCTGCAAAACTGAAACTCACGATTGACCGCGTCCTTGCACGCAAAAAATTGTTTGATGCTGGTTTGCCAGAAGCTCAGGTAAATGAATTGCTTCTGAAATGACGAAGGAACGTGTCATCTAGGCTTGGTTTGGGGCAGTCAAATAATCTCTGTATCTTATCATTAGCATCAATAGTGTAAAAAATGCATACTCGGGATACTGTTTGCTAGAAAACCCAACTCACTGCGGTAGGTACTCACGCAGACGTTCGCGATATTCGCACAATAAATACTGAACGCTATTGTCGCGCACGGCAATCTCCACAAGGTCAGAAGACGCTACATTAGAGCTCAAAAACTGCAGCCAAAACAAACTAAGCGACCATATCATCAAACTAGCTAGAACTAGACATCTTACTCACCTGAACTCGCAGCAATCTCGTGGTTTCAGGATCACAAAAAAAGTCTCACCGAGTGCGACCTTAAAACTTGTACTTCCAGGTAATCCTCGGTTATCTTCGTAATTTCCAGTCCAGAGAGAGATTCCTGGATACTTCTGACGTGGTCATACCTGCAAAAAGAGCGAAAAGAAGGGTGAGACACCAATGCACGTAACTACATGCACACTTGCCGCACCATTTCTTCATTTGTTGAAGCGTCATGTAATCCTGTTCTCGTTGCTTCACCTCAGCATCCTTACTCCTCAGGTCATTCTACCATGTAAGCCCAACCAATTGTGTACACGTGAGTCGCTTTCTAACAATGCCTATCCAACACATTACACACCTGTTTCGACAAATTCTCAATCGTCCCCTTGGTCCGCTTGACTTGGGTACTAATATCGATTTTCTGATCCTGTGATCATCAATCCATAAGAAACAACTATTAAATCGGTCCCAGGACTCAAACCTGAACTACCTTCCTTCTCACCTCAAGCCGTTTCTGCTTCTGATGCATTTCCTGAATGCTCTGCGTTTGCTGATCGAGCACACGATTGCAGTCCTCCTCGTCTGTAATCATGACCCCAGTCGCTACCTGCACCGCAGCCTTGCGGTGTGCATTTCTCTTCTGAATCTTCTTCCACACCTCATTCAACTGAGCCAAATCACTCTCGTGCACTTCCCGTGCTCGTTCATGTTCAATTACCTGTTGCTTTTCGTGCTCTACCTCATCTCCTAGTCTCTCTAATAATTCAAGTGCATGTATACGCTCCTGCACTGCAGTCTGGAGTTCCCTTTGCTCCTGCTCAAAACCCGCTTTTACCTGCGCCTTCCTTACCACCGCTGCCTGCTGTAGGGCCTCCAATGTCTCTACTTGCGCCAATCGGTCCAGTAAATTTTGTTTGGACTGTTTCCTAACAAATTCTTGCTGTAATTCTTGCAAGTTTCGCTGCCATCACATTAAGAGACCACTTTGAATCAAAACGTCTGCCTACTGCTATTGGATAAACTACGTACCAGAGCGTTTTCAAGTTTATTCGCAATAACTTGTGGCGTCTCGTTACTTTCATTCAGATTTTGCATCACTTTCGACATGTACAGAGCGTCAAATTGCTGCTGAAGTGCGTCATGATGGAGCGCAGGTACTTCCATTTTCATGTATACGTGTATACGCGTGGCAATATATATTGTATACACGATCGACAGTACTAATTATATTACAATATGTCGATCAAATAGCATGTGATCCACACCTATTTGCAAATCTTGAAGATAAATTAAATAAAAAAAAACAGATGAGTCGACTAATCTTATCTGGCAATTAATGTGGCTCTTTATGCGGGACAAATTTCTATCTAATTTATAATACAAACAGACGTAAATTTTTTAGACTGAGCAAGAGATGACGACTAAGATGAGTACGAGTGCGTCCTATGATGATACATTGCCGTTGTTGGATGCAGATCGAAGATCTCGTGATAGTATTCATACTGCACTGTTGGAAGATAAGACGCCTGAGATTCTTTTTCATGAAGATGCAATTGGAGAGACAGATTTGGGTCATGAAGATGACGATGCAGTGTCGACGGACGAATCCATTGTAATGGATGATGATACAACAATACTGATGGTAAAGTCCATGGGACGCGTTGGGGCGAAGGAGAAATGGGGAACCGAACCTTTGGCGCTGGATATGAAGATGCAAAGCGTGGAAATTCATATATCTGACGGTCTAGTGGTGAAGATTGAAGGCTATTATGTACCTCATGAAGAGAGAAAGAGAGAGGAGAGACAATATTTTGAATTACAAGATGACGAGGTGATTCTTAAAGTTCATTTGTTTCGAGTTCGTCGAGAGATTCATGCAATTCAGTTTGTGACAAACGAACGGACGTCGGATCGATACGGCGACATGAAACATGGTGAATTGTGCAAGGCTGTGGAAGCTCCAGAGGGCAAATACATTGCCAGCTTCTTTGGAGATTTGTCACGTGGTGATAAAGAGATTGATCTCGGATGTTGGTTTGCGAACCGACCGGAAGGTAAAGAAGACACGATGGAAGCTGAAGTTGACGTAGCAGAGATTGACCATGTGAATTAAAACAAAAGGAGTTAAAGCCTTGGGCTTTGGCAACATTGTTCATATCGGTGTTTTTCACATCTTGAGCAATTTGGTTGTCAGTCTGCTCGTCCGTTACAACGACAAAAGATGTTGCACAGCTGCGAAAGGTGTTGGGCAGAGGACTATGAAACTGTTTGCATATTTGCGTTCGTTACCTTGCAGTACGAGCATTGACTTCATAGGAACTCAGCTTGAGTAAGACACCATGCATTTATTCTTGTTCAGATAAAGTTGCCGCTGCATACGGCTATCGCAGCTTCAGTGATACAAGCAGCATTAAGAAAAACTTTTGAGTTGCCTTAACACTCTGCTAAATTTAATGGAGTCATTAAATATAATAAGCAGGTGGCAGTAACTGTTGGGCTTTTCAATCACTTCTGTTTGCACAGCATACCTCTTATGTGGAGAAGCACAAAATTGTATGGTAAAGAAAGCTCTATGATAGTTCTCTTATTTCTACGTACTAAGAGTTGCCGTCACGAGTACAAGCACATCTTTCTAGCAACACGGAAAATGGAATAAAAAATGTAGCAACATACTTTTTTGCTTACAGACAAATATGTCCAAAGAGGGCACTTTTATTGGACACACCAAAGAGGGCACTTTAATTGGACACATATTGCTGATCAATGCTAACCACTAATGAGCGAGGAAAAAGTCGATTCGTTAGACGCCTACATGGCGTCTTTGGAGCTGCCGTCAGGCAATCAATCAATATCTTTAGCTAAAGCAAGAGCTGAGTGCAATATCAGTCGCTCAGTTGTCCGTAATGGCCTCCCCGTGACCGTAAAAAACCGCCGCTATCGGCACCTTCAGCAGATGCTAAAAGACACTTCTGAAGACCGCTTCTTCTCGGACGCCATGATGCAGCAGCGTAGCCCTGCGTTGTATCATTTCTACTTAGGACAGTATATGGGGCTTGACATAAAAGCTATGTCATTAGTAGACAACGTAAAGCACACCTTATCCTCCTTCCTAATGGACACCTGTCAACGAAATGAGATGGAAGCTCGACGGGTGGCAGAGCAAAAAACATGGGGACAGTTTACTGCTGCAGACGAAAAACAAGAAAAGATTCGACTGCACCATTTGTATGAAGAAGATTATAGTGAGGAAGAGAAGGAGGAAGACGAAGACGAAGACGATAGGACGGTGTGTACGATTAACGAACGACGAGAACAACTTGTAGGAATTATGTGCACTCGATTTTTAAATGGTGAAGATAAAGACTACATCAGTTACGCAGCCATCGATGTTGACGAGACTCTTGACGACTTGGATGAGATACAACGCGATGCAGAAGATCACTACTTTGCGGACGGAAGAGATACCATCTGATGACGCTGCTCATGATATTGCTGCTGCGTTCCTATGAGACGGAAGAGATACCATCTGATGACGCTGCTCATGATATTGCTGCTGCGTTCCTATGAGTCTTAATGTCACTTATAATGATAGTTGGTTACAGCAACAATGATCAGTGGCGAGAATAAAAAAGCTGCCACACCTTTGATTCATTAACTTATATTCTTGTTAATGCATTTACGTGTTTGGAGTGGGTAAAAGCAGGCGGGGTAGAGCAGGTGTAAGGATGTAAGAACGTGGTGGTTACTCTTGAATATCCATCGGTAATAGCTTTACGCATGGATATCGTCACTGCCGAGACCAAGAGCGACGAAGAAGTAACTGTGCTCGCGCTGCTTCAGAAGATAAGCGCAAGGCTGGACGGTCTGGAGCAACAGATCTCAGCCAGTCCAATCTCGAGCTCGAGCAATACTCAGCACTGGCCCCATTGATTTTAAATCTGCAAGATCGTCAGCCTAATGCAAGCGGTCTCCGTGAGGTAGCTCAGCAAGGTAAATTGCTTGAAGCTTCCCGTTTGGCGCTTCAAGATCTTCACCAAAGCCTGCTCATACAGGCTGAGGAAAACCAGTTTGCTCGACGCAGTTTATATGCGCATGCAGCTAGACACCAAGGTCACCACCAGCCGGCAGCCGCAGCATGGAATAGCTGATGAAAAGTTTTACCGTGGTGTTGCACAGTTTGGTCCAGCTTGGGTTGCAGTCTCAGATTCCAAGACTTCAACACTGATGATTTAGCGATTTACGAGCAAGGAACTGCATGCATTAGAAAATGTCCTTATCTGGACCCAGGAGGCCAAGATGGCTACGGCTTCAGCTGTGCTCTACTCATAGCAACAGACAGTAGCACTGGCTATCTCGAAGCTCGGTGGAAGAGCAAGAGAATGGGCCCTGACGTGCGTTACATCTGTGGATGTTGATCTCCCGACAATAAATTCTCAATAGCGAGAGCTTTCGCGCGTGTTCGCGCCGCCTAATCAAGCATGTCTTGAGAGATAAACTTCTTAGCTACCAGACATGGTAATAGGAGATTAGATGAGTTCATTCAAATATTGAAAACTCTTCTTGCCGCTATGGATGCCGATTCTCTTCCTGAGGTAATTTGAACGACCATAATTATGGTAAATCTTCAAACTGGAGTTGTCAGGACATAACTTTACCGTGTCCGCCCATCCAATTTCGAGGAGGCTGTGGGAGAAGGATAAATGCAACGTCATTGACGCGTTCGTTAGTGCAAAGAACGCTGTGGGTTTGATGAGAGAAATCAAGCCTTCTCACTCCACACAAACATTCTGTTTCAGAAAGCCTAATGATAAGTAGCGCATTGTTGATGCTAATAATAAGCTTAGCGCGTCCAATATTAGCGCACAGACAACTATTCCTCGAAAGGATGCGTCACAAAGACCATGGCTGTCTATGGTAAAGCGGTGATCACAGAAGACTCTTTGTAACCCCGACTTTCCACTGGCGCCCAACTGTCTACTGACGGAGGGGGTACTACGATACCGAATGCTAGTCCTACTTACCTTGTATATCCACCGACCGGGCGGGTTGCACTCTCCTCGGTGGAATTGATCTGCTCTTGATCCTGATGGGGTCTAGATTGAAGATGGTGGATTGCGTGGAAATTCCTTACGCGATCACAGTAAACACTGGCGCTAAAAGCTGCCTTGATCCACCCTGGATCTTCCCTTTCCCTTCCTTGTTTATCCTCTTGACCTGTCTAGTAGATCTTTTGACCACTTGAGCCATCTCATAGAGGTCCCTTGCTTGAACGCTGCGTCCGATCGCAGTTGACTTGACTTGATTATGCTTGAACCCTG